TTCCCCAATAACGGATGCTCGCCTGCCTGGCCATGGAGCGCCCCGCGCAGCGAGCGGGATTAGCGCACGGCACATCCGTGCCGGCCTGCTGCCCGCCTCCCGGGGCCCGTGGGCAGCATCCAGTTAAGGGAATATCACCCCCTTCTCCATGCTGGGAAAGGGCCTGCAGCCCGGCCCAGAGGTCCCCGCGCGCTCTGCCGGCGACCGCTGCAGACTGCGGAACCCACCGGCGCCCTTGGGTGCCCTAGTGCATCCTAGTGCACCCTCGTGCGTCCTAGAGTGTCCTAGTGTGTCTTTGTGTGCCCTTGTGTGCCCTAGTGCGTCCTGGTGTGCCCTAGTCCACCTCTGTGCATCCTAGTGCACCTTCGTGCGTCCTAGGGTGTCCTAGTGTGTCTATGTGTGCCCTTGTGTGCCCCAGTGCGCCCTAGTGCGTCCTAGTGTGCCCTAGTCCACCTCTGTGCATCCTAGTGCACCTTCGTGCGTCCTAGGGTGTCCTAGTGTGTCTATGTGTGCCCTTGTGTGCCCCAGTGCGCCCTAGTGCGTCCTAGTGTGCCCTAGTCCACCTCTGTGCATCCTAGTGCACCTTCGTGCGTCCTAGGGTATCCTAGTGCGTCCTTGTGTGTCCTTGTGTGCCCTAGTGTGCCCTAGTGCGTCCTAGTGTGCCCTAGTCCACCTCTGTGCACCCTAGTGCACCCTAGTGCGCCCTAGTGCGTCTTTGTGTGCCCTAGTCACCTCTGTGTGTCCCAGTGCACCCTTGTGCGTCCTGTGCGCCCCTGCGTGCCCCTTTGCGCCTGCCTCCTGCACCAGCTGCTCCCGCGCGGGGTTACTGCCCGCGGCCGCGCTCCGCTCTTCGCTGCGAGACGTTGGGATTAAAGCGCTACCCGTCGCCACGGCCACTCACAACACAGGTCGAGGCGCCGGAGCGGAGCCGGAGCGGAGCTGGACACCGGAGAGTCCCGGCGCGGAGGGACGGGGCTGCCCTGCGGCGACGGCTCCGCGGGGACCTCACGGGAAGGGGCACTCAAATGAGCCCGGGCCAGCGAAGAGGAAGGTTTTACTAGAGCCTCTCAAGCCACTGATACAGCTTGAAACAGCAGCAAAAGAATCACCAGAAACCCCCTGTGGTTGGAGCTTGTCGAGCGCCGCAGCGACGGCCCCGCTGCTCGAGCGCCATCATTTCGCGTGGGAAATGGGTGCCTATAAAACACTGCACCTGCAGCACGGCTCCGAAGCCAACTCACAAACACAGAGCTAGCTTAGGGGATGAATGAGCACCATTAAAATACAGGGTAATTACTGGGGTGAACAATGACCTCCTCAGCTCTCTAATGATTACACAAATTAGTGCATAAAATTATTTTAATAGCAGCACAACTGTTGCACATACATCCAGCGCTCTGATTCGGAGTGGATGAGCAGGAGGGAGCACACAGACCAGTTCATGAACGAGGCCTAAACCACACGGGACACGATACATGAGATTCCGCCACACTGAAAAGCAAAATCTAGAAATTTTACAAGTTTTCTATACACTTTAAAACAAGCAAATAAGACCCTTTGAAGTGAAAACCTTCCAAGGAATTAGGCTCTGTCTCCACTGATGTGATAAAACCCACCAGGATATGAAGATTTTATTCTTCATTTGATAACAGCTGCCCCCAGCACAAGCAGGAGCATTCTGGATCATTGGTCACCTGTGCGAGTTACCTACGGGTCTGAGGTGCCGGGGTCTGTCCCTTCATCAGCAACAAATCTCAAGCTCCAACTAATAACTCAATTAATAGGAGGCTGCTCTTCTAAAGCAGAAGTCTTGATTAAAAAGAAAAAAAAAAAAGTGTCAAAACTGTGGTTTCTAGGAGAAACCACAAGCGTTCTAACTGTTTCTATTTCAGTGCGGACTTGGGGTTTATTGACTGCTGCACTGTCAGAAGGTGCGATCAGAACAGCCCTGCAGCTCAGGTGCCCCTGCCCCTCCAGCCACGGGGATTTCGAGCCTCTTCACCTCACAGATTCTCCCCATTTCATTTTCTTTGGAGTCAATGAAGTCTTAAAAATACCGAGTTTGGGGAGCGTTAGAATGCCTGTATAAAGGGACACTTTCTGGCTCGGTTTTGAAACGGTACCACACTAACATCGCCTTCTGGGAACATCTGCTAACAGAGCAGCTAGCAAACTCCTGGCTTCCTTCCCCTGGAACCTGTTTTTACTAATTTATGTAAAACGTTGAAGTAAATTTGAAATGTTTTACCCAACAGCTATAGCTGCCTAAGCCAGTGACTTGCAACACCCGTGCCTGGAAGGCGCCTTCCCCGGCGGAGCGGTGCCGTGCGGGGCCGCAGCGTCCGCGCGCGCGGCTCTTCCTACGAGCCCGGCTCGCGGCAGCCCCGGGCGCAAAGTGCATGAACCCGAGATGGGGCATAATTAAAAAGCAGGACCACGTTCCAAGGAGGAAGTCATGCAGCTGCCTCACCTCTTCCTAATGCAGCACCAGCGTCATGTAGATTTTTACCTGAGATTCTCAGCTAATCATGTTAAACTCCTTTATGGCAGTCAGAAAACAGCTTACAGACTGTTAGCAGTGCTGGCCTCTGTCGATGAATATTTTAAAGGCGGCACTTGGGGAAGTGCCTTGATTAACTCCCGTTAAGTGGTTTTGGTTTTCTCTCTAGGCCGTCAGCTGCATGTTTGGCTATGAAGAGCACAAGGGCCACAGAAAGCATTTTGCAGGAAATAGCTCTGAAACAAACTAAAGCTCTGCGCTGCAAACTGTTTTATTGCAGAATCTCAAAATCCTTTACCAACATTCATGCTGTAACACCACGGTGAAGCACATCTTGTGCCCATCACACACAGCAAAATTTGGAGTCGGCGGGACTTGTTTGCATCACATCGATGGCTTGTGGCAGATGAACAGAAGAGCCAAGCGGAGCAGCAGGTCCTTTATCCTCTCTTCCACGTGACGAGCCAAAACGGGAGAAATGACTGCGGAATGACTCCGTTTTCCACAAGGAACCGAAAGGCAGCGCTCCCGCTTGACCGAGGGGATTAGCGGCCTCCTGCTTCAGAGGGGCGACGTGCACCGGATAAGGACTCAAAGCCCTCGTTTGCGCCAAGGTGAAACGTCCGCATCGCCAATGCAGCGGGGGGTGGCTGCAGGCGGCCTGCACCCCGCAGCAGCGCGGCAGGG